GGACGCTTAACCGACTGCGCCACCCAGGCGCCCCAAGATTGTCTTCATTTTTCAATGGTTTCCCTCTTTTCTTCCATTTCTTTTTCTATATTTAATAAGTACTCTCAATTTTTTTCTGGTTTTGTCCATTTATGTTCTTAGTTTAAAAAAAAATTATGTCTCTGAATGCTTATTTGAGCTTACTTAATTCAGCTTTTAATTCTGCACTGTAGTTTTTTCTGCTTTGTAAGATTTTTATCATTCATTTGAATGGATATCAGCAGCTGAAATGTTTGACTCTCAGTTTTGTTACCTTCTTATAGAAGCTCTATTATAGATAACATAGACATCTTTCATCTAATTAGTTTGTGTTCAGAGCAGGTATTTTCTAATCCAGGTGCAGCCTTTTGTCAATGTAACAAAATCTGGTTTTATCAATTACTAACTTCCTTCCTTCATCTTTCAGTGACAGTAGTGATTGTCTTTTGTTTGGTCCTCATTTATTTTTCTGGATACTTGATTTTCCTTTCTTCCTTATTTCCTTATCCACACATTCTTCAGAGGGTTTCTCTCTTTCTTTTCCCTTCCTCTCTTTCCAGAAGTAATGCCTTTCTGAGGTCAGTTCTTCTTATACTGAGCCCTTTAAGTCCCCGCTCTGTATAGCTCATTCTCCAGTCTCCTGGCTCTTCTCACATGTAAGGTGGACTTTCTCTCCCTCCGGTTATTTCAGTTCATTTTAGGACTCCTCACCTCCCTCTCTCCTCTTCTGCATGATTTTGAGACTCCCCTCATTCTCTGCAAAGGCTTAGATCAGGAACTTGAGGTTTAAGTTTGCTGTATATGTTGTTTCTTTCTATTTACAGGTAATTTGAAGTTTGTACTGTTACCTGTTTTTTATATTTGTGATTGCATTGTCCTACTTGTTGGATGAGTGTGGAGAGATTTGGATTTAGTCTGCTATAATTTTCCTCAGGCTACCTAGAAGTCCACATCTGTGCTTTTTCTAATCAAGGTTAGCCAAAAAATAAACAAAACGACAGAAACCCCCACGTGAGTTTTAGTTTCTATTTCTCTCTTTAAAATGAAAGCTTAAGTTTTGAAATTTTCCTTTCTTGAGGAAGGACTCATATAATTCTATTTCCAAAAGAGTGGTAGAAGAATATTTTATAATTTAATCCTATTTTTGAAAAAAGGACTTTTCTGCTAGGAAATAATATTTGGAGCCAAACATATAACTCCTTTCTTCACAGAAATTGAAAATAAATAACTTGAAAAAAACTCTTTTAGAATTTGTAGAACTCTAGTGTTGTTATGTAGTTTATACCAATGTCATCTGTTTCAATTCTTTGCCTTTAAACAAAATTTTCTAAAGGAGCAACCTTTTTTTAGATCACATCACTAATATAGTTTTCCATACCATGATTAAAATTTCCCATACCGCTTGTTGATATGATTGAATTTTGTAGCTGGGTAACTTAAGATTTTTAGTGTCTGACTTCTGTCTCTTTCTTTCTTTCACTTACTTTCTAGCTGATTCAAGGCTTTGCCTGGTTGTGTGGAACAATTATTTTGAAATTTCTGACATCTAAAATGTTAGGTGTTTCAGATCATGTAAGTACTTTCTAGTTAAAGCATAAAAATTCCTATGAATATGTAGCTGGATGAAAACTTTAAAACCATCTATTTTTACCTCTTTAGTTTATAGAGAGTAAGTGCCTTTTCAAGGTCCTGGAGTTAATTATTGGCAGACTCAGTAATAAAACCCTACAGTTAAGTGATCTTTTCAACCCACTAAGAAAAAACTATCAATGAATGCTAACCTAGCCATCCAGAAAAAAAAAAGAATAATATCTCAAGTAGTTATGTGTTTATATTTCATTAAAATACGAATTGGGGCACCTGGCTAGCTCAGTCAGTAGAGCATGTGACTCTTGATGTTGGGGTTGTGGGTTCAAGCCCCATGTTGCGTATGGAGATTACTTAAAAAATAAACTCCTAAACAAATAACCTCATTTATTTAAATAATAAGTTACTCATTTATTGAAAATGTTAACATATGAGCAGTCTGTACTCAGCTTTGAAATATAATAGTCAAAATCTTAATGTAGTTTTATTTATGTATAGTTAATAGACTAAAATTAAGGTATGACTTGATATTTTTAAAGCTTTTCTTGTTATGTAAAAGGAAAGTGGTAAATGTTAAAAATCCTCTATCTTTTCATCTTCTAGAAAATATATGGACCTATCCCTCATGTGTGGTGTGTGTTTGTTTTAAAGCCAGTGTCTTACATAATAGCCCTTGTCAAAGCTTAAGTCCCTACTTAGCTAATCAGTTTAAGGGACAGAAAACAATGCAGAAACTTACTTTTGATTCTTACTTTCTGTTTGGATATGAGCATACATGAGCAAATCACACAGTAACCTACTCTGAAACGTACTTCATCTCATACTATCTAATTAGAACCCTGTCTAATGCTGAAATTTCTTCATCTTTAACAACAGATTATGGTCCTTAGTCTCTAAAAGGTCAAGTGCTATCACTCTCCAGTAGAATTGAGCTAGCATACATGTTCAAGTTAAATAAAATTTCAAAGTATATGGATTTATCTGCCATTTATTGGTAGCTCTGTATGGTGATTTATTAGGTTTATTTGTTGCTGCTGTTCTCTGGTATGTCTGATATACTCCTTTTTTCTTTTCCTTTTTATTCTGTAGGGCTAAACATTTTATGGTGAACTTTATTGAGGCCTCCTAAGTCATCTATTTGTTAAGTTGGTCTATGGGTTTCTTTTCTGCCTTGCTCCACGTTGTCACCCAACTCATTACAAATCTTACACTCACACACCTATCCCCCCCCCCCCCCCCCCCGTACTCTTAAGTTGCTTCGTGTGTGTGACACTTGTGCGAAAGACTTGCAATGAAAGTGGTTTAGTTAAATTATTAGTCATCATGCCCAGTCAAAATTAGAAAAATGAAGTCAATTCTAAATTACCCTTGCTACTGGTAGGTAGGGGGAATCATAAATAAATGAAAACCACAGATAATTATTACACTTGATATAAAATAATTTCATTTCTGTAAAATAATTTGAATTAAGGTTTATATACCATATATTTTCTCTTTTCTGGCCTTCTGAGAATGCAGTGGAAAAACAATTGTCTCACTGACAGTGGGTAATAAATAACTGAAAATAAGAGTTCTACATTGAGTTTGGTTGGTGATGTTTATTTCAGAGGACTTGGAGATCAAGTAACTAAATCAAAGTCGTGTGTGTAGTTGTTATAATTCTTATGATGAATAGCTGTTATGTTTAATGGCTTGACTATATGCCTGAAAAATTCAAGAAACACCAAAAATTGTAATCAGTGTATGCAACTTTGTGAAAATGACAACACATAGGAAATTTATTCATGTTTTTCACTGTGTGGTAAAAAGGGTTAATGTGAGACTGTTTTCTTCTTGAGAAATGATTATAAAATCTCATGATTAACTACATGGTGGTTTCTGCCCAGCTATTGTTGATCTTAACTCACTCTTTATATTATCATGTCTGCTTATTTTTTCTGACCTCTTTCTGCTTTTCATTCTTTTGATATTTCTCTTTGTTTTGTTTTCTTCATAATTCAGTATATAATAATGTATTGTTCACTGAATTTTTTGTTTGTTTTCTTTGAGGGCCGTCCATGTACCTTGGATTTATCTGCTCTGTAGACTTTGTTAATATTACAACAAATCAGTTATTATTGACCATAATTATTAGTGTAATTTTAATTTCTTTTACTTTATTTTCTTCCCAGATTCGCCTGAGTGACCTTATAGCAGCCAGAATCTTAAGGTATACAGATTTTGATACCTTAATTTACACCTGTGCTCCTGAATTTGACTTCATGGAAAAAGCGGTATGAACAGTTTTCTTTGTTTTTTTTCCTTCTCTACAGGTATGATGGTCTTTTGCTCTGAAGTTTTCCTTTTAGTCTGAAACTCAAATTTTTTATTCAGAGACAACCAACTTTATCATTTTTTTACTATAATTTTTACTAATCATAAGCATTCCTTACCGGTTTTTTTTATGTGTAAAATGAGTAAACAGTGACCCCTATCTTAAAGAGTTCTTGATGATGGTTGAATGAGATAATCCAGGAAGAGTGCCTACCATACTATTTGATCCACAGTGAATTACTATTAGTACAGTTCAATTACTTTTAATAGTGTATGTCACTTAGAAGTATGGGACTACTCACAAAAAATAAATCTAAGTTCTTGTTTTGGTTTTTAAAAACTGTAGTTATGTTTCATTTAATACATCAAATATTATAAAAATCTTTAACAAAATGGTGCCGAGAAAGATATACTATTAATCGTACATTATTCTCTTATCTATCCAACCAGTCATACATTTACTCAAAAACTATTATGAGCACTAATTATCTGTGAGGCTGTTGGCTGCAAAGAGGAAAATGGCTTGGCTTCTGCCTTCAAGAAAGTATTTAATTTAGTGACATGGTAAATCACTCTGACCACATTAATGGGTCATGAGAATTATTTAGCTGCTAATGTCATTTCAGTACTTATTCATATTTACAGTAAGTATGTAGGCTGACTTTCTTCCTTGTTCGCTCTAGTTTCACCAGCGAAAATAATGGAACTTTGCAACCCAGGAAATGATAATATAGGGCCTGGGGATCAGTAAACACAAAATTTAAAAATTAATATTATATAAATAAAGGAAAGATAATACCAAAAGAAGGAGAAAAATAATATATAGCTAATTTTTGTTTTAATAGTTTTTACCGTTAAAACCTTTGGTACATTTGTATAACTTTTTATAATTTTCATTCTTGTATTAGAAGATGAAGGTTGATAAATATACATAATATTAACGGCAAAAACATTTTTACCTTTATGAAATTTCATTGTGGTATAAGTTTTTACTCACTTAATATAAAATTTAATAAATGACTTTTGAACAATTTGCTTTATTTCAGACTCCATTGAGATACACAAAGACATTATTGCTTCCAGTTGTTATGTTGATTACTTATTTTATCTTTAAAAAGGTATATTTAAAAATTTGTTATCATTTGCTTTTGGGTTCAAGATAAGGGCTATAATAGAATTGTAGTTCAGAATTCCATCTTATCAGAATTCCATCTTATTTTTAGGGTGAACCCTTCCCCCATAAAACAGATTTCTTACTCAGATCTTTATCTAGTATTATGTGGGTTTTAGAAAGCCTCATTAGAAAAGATATTCTTATTTATTCTTTTAAAAGAAATTTGTCAGTTACCTACTATGTACCATGAACTATATTCACATTGTCAGTCCACTGGAACAAATAAAACAGGCCTGCTTCTATCTTGGAACTTACATTCTTGGTGGGTGTGGGTGTGGGGTGGGGCATTAAGCAAATAATCACACAATAACTAAAGAATTACAATTGTTATAGGTGCTGTGAAAGGAAGATGACAGTTTGGTAGCTTTTAAATATAAAGCACATTCAAGGAAGTCTTAATCCGCTTTAAGACCTTCACAGGAGAAATTCTACACACATTCTTTAAAAAGTCATTGTATGTTCACTGTTTTCCCAACAAAAGAAAACATTATTAATGATAGAAGAAATAATATTCTAAAATACCTGTGACAGATTTTCTTGGTCTTGAAGTGGTATATCTGAAACCCTAAAGAACCTGGGTCTTAGTTTTTTGCAATTTTGAACCATCTTTATGATACTGTTTACAAGTCGTCTTAAGTCAGTATTGTTATGCCCAGAATTCGTGATCCCAAAAGACCACCAGGGAGCCAAGTCCGATGTAAAAGCAAAAGAGCCTTTATTCGCACTAGCTCGAGCTCAATCCCCTACCTGCACCGACGCAGTGGTGAGATACCGGGGAGAGAAGAGAGAGTTTCAAAAGGACAAAGGTTTTATTGGGGCCTAGGGGCAGTTAGTGAGGTAATGGCTATGGCCTCAGCCGATTGGCTGGGGAAGGGTCCGAGTCCTGTTAGGCAGGTGAGGGTGGGGGGGTTACTCAAGGGGAGGAGGTGTGGTCAAGGTGAAGGACACAGAGCAAGATGGAGTCGGCCGGCGTAGGCCCGCCCTTTCAAGTATGTATTTATCATAGACTTTTAAATAGATAGCAGGAGCATCTCTCTGCCACCATACCAGGGGTGGCCCTGATCCAATTAGTTTTCTATGTGTAAAGTCACGGTGCATACCTTGTGTGTGTGGTTGCAGTTCCCACATTTTCTCATTCCCGTGTTTTCATGTAAAATGTGAACAATTTATGAGAAGCCTCTGTCTCTACCTTGATCTCTGTTGTTTCTCCCTTGACCCAGTTCCCTAGGGACCACTTGGAAAGAGGCTAGAGGTAATGAGAAGGAATGGGTAAACTAGAGCAGTGTCCCCTGGGCTCTGCCTAGCTCTCCACTAGCCTGTTTCCATTCCATCATGGCAAACGGTGGTATTCTTCCAAGGCTACACTTAAAGGGGTAATGCAGGAATTAACTCTTCAGTGAGGAGATAGCTGGCATCCGAGAAGATGAGAGCTAGATCTACTATTACTATTTTTTAAAATTAAGATCCAAGACTCATAAACATAGTACTTGCCCCCAGACATACCACAGCTCAAATGCATGTGCATTAGCATGTTCTCTCTCTCTCTCTCTTTCTCTCTCTCTCTTTTTCTCTTTCTCTCTCTCTCTCTCTCTCTCTCTCTCTCTCTCTCTCTCACACACACACACACACACACACACACACCCATCCCTGCAGCTTAACTCCTTTCTGCCTCCAGGTAAACCCCTCATCTTTATTTGTCCCATTGTGGTTTCTTTTTCACCTCAAGGATATGTCTGATCTAAATTTACATTTTCACTTGTGTGAAGTCACTTCTGGAAGAAAGAAAGAAGGCATATATAGTATGATTTTTCTGTGACACTACAGAATCTTAAACTCCCCTAAGTGCATATATTCTATCAACTATACCACCAAATAGGCTTTGTGCTTGCCTAAGTGACTAGAATCTCATTTATGTCACTTGAAACATTCATCCATAAAAAATGTTCTTGAACAAATGAGAGAAGTTAAAGATTCTAAACTTAGATTTAATTTTAAATTAGAGTTCAAATTTCACTCTATTTTTTTTCATTGTTTATTTCTAAGTTGTAAAGCGCATATCCTTCACAGTTTAAAATTTTAAGTTCCCCATAAGGTTTTTATCTTACTGTTTAAGTTGCATAGGATTGTAGCTAAAGCCTCCTTGGCCCAATTTAGCCCCCACCTTCCCCTTCACTCCTCCTGCTCTCCTCCCTCCCTCAGCATCTTGTGGTACATTGTCAGAGGTGCTCACTGGCCTTCCCAGTGCTCACTCGTGGCTGAGATCAGGGAAGCAGATATGCCATAATAATTTTATAATAATCTGGAGTTTCAGTGAAGCAGGAGTATGGACTGCAGTGTATGGAGTATGGAGGGAGGTGGGTAGGGGTGGGGGAGAGTTTCCCACTTTGCGTGGAAGGTTAAGATCCTCTCTGAAAGTACGTGGGAGAAGCAGCCTCCGTTATAGAAACTAATTCCCCACTTTCAGCCCACCTCCCTCCCAGTAAGATACAAACTTAAACTCTAGTAAAGAGTTGTGCACATGTAAGGGCTTAGAATTTTAATGTTGAAATGGACCTTAAAGATTTATCTCAACAGTGGGGGTGCCTGGGGAGCTCAGTCGGTTAAGCGGCAGACTTTGGCTCAGGTCATGGTCTCATGGTTCATTAGTTTGAACCCTGCATTGGGCTCTTCTGCTGTAAGGAGCCCACTTTGGATCCTCTGTCCCCCTCTCTCTCTGCCCTCCCTGTCCCTACTCCCCCACCCACCCCCTTGTGCACTCTCCCTCTCTCTCTCAAAAATGAATAAACATTTTTTTAAAAAAGATTTACTCCGGGGCGCCTGGGTGGCTCAGTCGGTTAAGCGGCCGACTTCGGCTCAGGTCCTGATCTTGCGGTACGTGAGTTCGAGCCCCGCGTTGGGCTCTGTGCTGAGAGCTCAGAGCCTGGAGCCTGTTTCAGATTCTGTGTCTCCCTCTCTCTGACCCTCCCCTGTTCATGCTGTCTCTCCCGGTCTCAAAAATAAATAAAACGTTAAAAAAAAAAAAAAAAAAAAGATTTACTCCAACAATCCTTTCTTTTTTTTAATAGCAGAGGAACTTAGAATGGCAAGAAAATATTTGCCTGGGGCAAAGATGGGATTAAAGTGTTTCTGAGAACTCACTTTAACAATTAAGATACTTTTTCCTTGTGGGGGTGTTTACGTTAATGAATTGGAGCATTTTAAATGTCACATAATTCCTTAGAAAAGTTTAATTTATTCTATTCACAGGCTACTCGTGATATTTTATGTGTCTTATCTGCAAACACCTATCAAAGGTAATTATAATTGTTTTTAAATCATACTGTCTTCAGTTACTAAATAACTACTGTAATATTAAATGAATGTATATTAAATCAGCATTTTGATTAAGAAAGACATGAACCAATCTTAGATGTTCTCTTAAAAGACTGAATATATTATTCTTAGAGATTTCTTTTATGTGTTTGGACTTGTTTTGGAGATACTTATATTTGAATTAATTTAAAGTTTAAATCAAGTTAAACTTTAATATATGGCTAGAATTTAAAGTCCATAAACAGACGTAAGCTAAAGTTTTATTTGGACAGGTTTTTTTTGACTTTCAGAGAAAACATAATTATTTGTTTTTCTGCATAATCATGAAATAGTTTATTCTCCATTTATTGTAAAGCCATTTGCTGTATCACTTTTTTTTTTTTTTTTTTGGTGGTTTTAGTGAAGTCACTAGAATTATGGCATAAACATATGTGAGTAAAATAACTCAGATCACACATTGCAAAACATATGTGAGTAAAATAACTCAAATCACACATTGCTACCAGACATGAGAAGTAGATTGTGAAGAAAATTTCCTTCTGAGGAATATCTTAAGTTAAATTTTATACTTATAGCTGTACCATTAAATTTGATGTATTTAATGAAATTTATTTTTAGGACAGTTTTAGATTTACGGAATATTTGTGAAGTTAGTACAGAGCGTTTCCATGAGCTCCATACCCCATGCTTATATTTTCAGTAAAGCATTTCATATGGTTGCTAGAAGAGCTAAACAGAACCCTATGTTTGAAATGGTTAAATCTTATTTGTTGAAATCCAAATCGAGGCGCTTAATAGACCCATGTTCTGGGTCTTAAATCTTAATAGACTTTGTTCTGGTCAGGTAGAGACCAGGCAAATATGCCTTGATGCAGTAAAAAGAATGTTTTTAGAGCCATGGGAACTATTCACATAAAGAATATATGATGGCACCCGGGATATTTAATTGGATAATAGAGGATTGAGAAGTACTTTGTGACTGTCTTCAAATATTTGAGAGGGTACAGTGTGGAAGAGGACAGACTTGAGGGGACCAAAGGGTGGAAGATATTTAGCTCAAAGGAAGGAGGTGATTACAGTCCTGAGAGTGACAGCCTTGTGTGTGTGTATGGGCAGAGGAGTTTTTTAAATTACAAAAATAATACATGTGTACAGTAATATATTCAGATGAAATAATATTTCAAGAAAAGAGGAAATGTTTCCCTCCTTTAGAGCTACTACTCATTGGTGCTGATCGCAAATGGCTTCATATGTATCATTCTAGAAAACACTTCCAAAAACACAATAGTTTTATAAAAAATAGAATCAATATTGTTATGTAACTTTTTATTTTTATTTAACAGCTTATCTTGGGTATCTGCCTAGATCTTCCTCATACTTTGTAGTGGTCTCCACATTTTATTGTTCCTCATATGAGTGATTACCAAGTACTTAGCTAGTCCCTCATCAATGGGCATTAAGATTATATTTATCCGGGGCGCCTGGGTGGCGCAGTCGGTTAAGCATCCGACTTCAGCCAGGTCACGATCTCGCAGTCCGTGAGTTCGAGCCCCGCGTCAGGCTCTGGGCTGATGGCTCAGAGCCTGGAGCCTGTTTCCGATTCTGTGTCTCCCTCTCTCTCTGCCCTTCCCCCGTTCATGCTCTGTCTCTCTCTATCCCAAAAATAAATAAACGTTGAAAAAAAAAAATTAAAAAAAAAAAAAAAAAGATTATATTTATCTTTTTGTCATAACAACAAGTGCTAAGAGTAATGAACATTTCTGTACATATTTCTTTGCATACTTATTTTAATATTTAGAATATTTAGTATTAGAATATTTGAAATGGGACTTTTGAACCGTAATTTATAAATGTTTATAATTTGATAAATCCTGAGAACTTATGATGGGAGTGTCCATTTCTCTGTATCTCCATGAACACCAGTGTTATCAAACTGAACTTTTTCTCACAGGTAAAAAAAGAAAAAAAAAAGGTGGGGGGAAGCAGGGGGGCTCATTTTATTTTATCCGTCTTTACCAGGGAAGTTTTACATCTTTCAAATGTCTGGTGTATTTGTATCTCTTGACCATTTGAAAATTGATTTGTAGGGTATTTTAATTTATATTATAGACAGTAACCTTTTGCCTATTACATGTATAACATTTCTTCTAGGATGTCAATTTATAGTTTATTAATGGTCTTTGCTTTATAGAAGTTTAGAATTTCTGTACAGTCACAACTATACATTTTCTGTGTTAATTTGTTCCTTAGAAACACCCACATCAAAATCATTAAATTACTTCCTCATATTTTCTTTCATAATGTTTATTTTTTGCCAAGTAATAAGTATATATTTAAAGTGTACAACACAATGACTTGATGTACATATATATTGCGAAGTGATCACCACAATCAAGTTGATTAATACATCTAACACCTATATCACCTCTCAGTTACCTTTTTGTATATGAGAATGCTTAAGATCCTTACTCTCAGCAAACTTTAAGTATTCAATACAGTATTATTAACTATAGTCACTATTCTGTACATTCTTTTCTCAGAACTTTTTCATCTTACAACTAAAAGTTTGTATTTTTTGATGAACATCACCCGCATCAGCCCCCACCCCACAGCCTCTGGCAACCACCATTCTACTCTGTTTCTGAATTTACTTTTTTTTTTCTTTTTTAGACTCCACGTATATGTGATAACATAAAGGATTTGTCTTTCTTTGACCTATGTCACCTAGCTTAATGCCCTCCTGGTTCATCCATGTTGTCATAAATGGCAGAATTCCCCCTTTTTTTTTTAAGACTGAATAATATTCCTTGCTTATATATGCCACATATTCTTTATCCATGTGTTCAGTGACAGACACTTCAGCTGCTTCTATATCTTGGCTATTATGAATAATGCTGCCATGAACATGGAAGTGCAGATATCTCTTCAAAATATGGATTTTGATTCCTTTGATATGTTCCCAGGGGTAGGATGGTTGGATCGTATGTCAGTTCTCTTTTTAGTTTTTTGAGGAGCCTCCAATACCGCTTTCCATAATGACTGTACCAATTTACATTCCCACCAACTGTACACAGGGTTTCCCTTTTCTCTGTGTCCTCATCAACACGTATCTTTTGTCTTTGATTATAGCCATTCCAATAGTAGTGAGGTGATATCTCGTTGTGGTTTGGAATTGTATTTCCTGGATGATTAATGAAATTGAGCACATTTGCATTTTTCCTGTTCTCCTTCAGAAAAAAATGTCTCTTCAGGTCTTTTGCCCATGTTTAAATCAGATTATTTATTTATTTATCGCCATTGGGTTGTATGAGTTCCTTATTTACTTCAGCTATTAACTCCTTATCAGATACACAGTTTGCAAATATTTTCACCCCTTTCATAGGTTGCCTTTTCATTTTGTTGATGGTTTCCTTTGCTGTGCAGAAACATTTTAGTTGATGTGGTCCCACTGGTTTATTTTTGCTTTTGTTGATGGTGCTTTTGGTGACAGACAAAAAATCATTGTGAAGATCGATGTCAAGGAGGTTTTTCCCTGTTTTTTCTCATAGGAGTTTTATGGTTTGAAGTATTACATTTAAGCTTTTCATCCATTTCAACTTAATTTTTGTGAGTCGTACAAAGTAGGAGTTTAATTTCATTCTTTTACATGTGAATATCCAGTTTTCTAAGCATCATTTATTGAAGACACTATCCTTTTCCCATTGTGTGTTAGTGCCCTTATCAAAGATAAATTGACCATATACACATAAGTTTATTTGGGGACTCTATATTCTGTTTCATTGGTCCATGTATCCACTTTTATGCCTGTACCATACTGTTTTGATTACTATACTTTTGTGATATAGTTTGAAGTGAATAACTATAATACCTGCAGCTTCATTCTGCTTTCCCAAGATTATCTTGGAAATTCAGGGTCTTGTGTTGTTCCATATGAAATTTGGGATCATTCTTTCTGTATCTGTGAAAAATGTCATTGGAATTTTGATTGGGATTGCTTTGAATCTGTAGATTGCTTTGGGTAGTATGGATATTTTAACATTAATTCTTCCAAACCAAGAACATAGGATATCTTTCTATTTGTGTAGTCTTCAGTTTCTTTCATCAGTGTCTTACAGTCGTCAGTGTAGAGGTCTCTCCTTGGTGAAATGTACTCCTTCCTAAGTGCTTTATTGTTTTTGATGCTATTATAAATGAGATTGCTTTCTAAATTACCCGTTCAGATAGCTCACTGTGATTGTGTGGAAATGCAACTGATTTTTATATGTTAACTTTGTATTCCACAAATTTACTGAATTCATTTATTAGTTTTAACAGTTTTTTGGTGGGGTCTTTAGGGTTTTCTGTACGTAAGATCACATCATCTGCAAACAGTTTTACTTCTCCCTTTCTTATTTCTTTTATTTATTTTTCTTGCCTAATTGCCCTGGTTAGGACTTCCAATACAGTGCTGGAGGGAAATAGAGTGGGCACCCGTGTCTTGTTCCTCATCTTTGTGGGAAAGTTTTTGAGGTTTTCAACATTGAGTATGAAGTTAGCTGTGTGCCTTTTTTTTTTTTTTTTAATTTAATTTAATTTTATTTTATTTTTTTCAACGTTTATTTATTTTTGGGACAGAGAGAGACAGAGCATGAACGGGGGAGGGGCAGAGAGAGAGGGAGACACAGAATTGGAAACAGGCTCCAGGCTCTGAGCCATCAGCCCAGAGCCTGACGCGGGGCTCGAACTCATGGACCGCGAGATCGTGACCTGGCTGAAGTCGGACGCTTAACCCACTGCGCCACTCAGGCGCCCCGTGTGTGCCTTTATTGTGTTGAGGTACATTCCTTTTGTACCTAATTTGTTGAGAATTTTTATCATGGAGGGGTTTCGAATTTTGTCAAATGCTTTTTCTGTGTCTGTTGAGATAATCAGATGGTTTTTATTCTTCATTCTCTTAAAGTGGCACATCAAATTTATTGATTTGTATGTATTGTACTATCCT